CCAAGTTGAAGAGGCTATGGCTGGCCCCTCCATCGACGAACATTTTCAGATGATGTTTCCCCACCTTGCCAGCGACCAGCACAGGGTGATCCACATGATTATCCCCGTTATTCGGCCGAGTGCGATCGATTGCATGAATCGGAACCACGACTCGGTGGGGATGGTGGTGTTCGGGCGACGGAGCATAGTCAGTAAAGGGCCCGTTACTTACTGACTCTTCCCATTTCCCTGCTCCTTCCTGTCGTTCTCTGTCAGCGGCATTTTCTCCTTGCATTCGTTCTTCCAGTGACCCACCTTCCCACACCGGAAACACTGACCCTTAGGAGGGCGGTCGGGTGTATGGACGGCGTTGATTGTGGCCCGATGGGTCTGGCCACGAAAACCTCTCCCATCCCTGGAAGCCGTTCTCGCGTACTGCATCAGCGCATCCGTTGACTCTGCCACGCGTACTGCTTCGAGGAACGATGTCGGGCGGCTGCGGCGAACTTCGAACTGTATCTCGTACTTAAGGCCGCTCACGTATTTATCCAACCGCTCAGCTTCCGACATGTCATCGATTTGGTCGGCGAAGCCCATAAATGACGCCGTGTAGTCTTGGACAGATCCCATCTGCGACCATGCACGCAGCTTCATGCGAGCTTGCTCCGAGGCGGATACGTGCTCGAAGCGATCCCGTAAGGCTGCGCCCCACTCCTTCCATGTGCGTATCTTGGTCACACCGAAGATCGGTTCTGCAACTTGATTAACCACTGTAGAGGTCCCGTCTGCCGCATGTGTCACACCTGTCGACGTCCCTGTTTCCAAGGTCCGGCGCCACCATTCAAGTGCTGCACCTCGAAGAAACGAGACCGCGTAATTAATGCGCGTGGCATCGTCATTAACTCCGGCTGCAGTGAAGAAGACTTCAACCCCGAACAGCCACCCCTTCACTGTAGTCGTCTTGTCCGTAGGATTAAACGGGGGCGGGTTGACGGGCTTGATCTTGATCGTCGTAACTGCAACTGGCGCTGCCGCCGCTCGCTGCCTATCTTCTTCTTCGAAGTCGCGTGTGAGCTCGTCCAGAGGATTGCCCATCACTTGACTGTTGCCCTCGCCTTCGTCCACAGGCGACGTCTGACGCGCTTCACCTCGCGTCCGGCGTAGCTCGGCGTTTTCCTCCTTCAGTGTTGTCACTTCCGCTTGCAGCGATTCCATGCCCCTCGCCATTTCTGCCACTTGCGCCATCAGTCGGTTAACAGCCTCCTGATCCATGTTTCTGTCAGAATCCCAGCCACTAACCACTGGGATAAAAGGGCTTGTTTGTGTGGCGGGTGAGTGCGCCCATAACCCCCCAGGCCAACATGCCTGTAACCCTTCCCTAGGATCAACGGGGATCACCAGTGGACCTCTGACACCCCCCTGCACTGGGATGCCCGAAGTGCATACACCGGGATTCGAACCCGAGACCTTCGCTCTGATACCATGTCAGAATCCCAGCCACTAACCACTGGGATAAAAGGGCTTGTTTGTGTGGCGGGTGAGTGCGCCCATAACCCCCCATGCCAACGTGCCTGTAACCCTTCCCTAGGATCAACGGGGATCACCAGTGGACCTCTGACAGTTTCTTGCACTACGTCTGGTGGGCAGTTGGGTACCCGTGGCCGCCCGGCAAGTGAAAACACGAACTATCGGAGTCGGGCAGGGTTGAGTTAACAACCTCTGCAGCCAACCGTCGTGTAGTCACTAAACCAACCACACCCTATGCTGTCAGAATCCCAGTCACTAACCACTGGGATAAAAGGGCTTGTTTTGTATAGCGGGTGAGTGCGCCCATAACCCCCCAGGCCAACATGCCTGTAACCCTTCCCTAGGATCATCGGGGATCCCCAGTGGACCTCTGACACCCCCCCGCACTGGGATGCCCGAAGTGCACACACCGGGAATCGAACCCGAGACCTTCGCTCTGATACCATGTCAGAATCCCAGTCACTAACCACTGGGATAAAAGGGCTTGTTTTGTATAGCGGGTGAGTGCGCCCATAACCCCCCAGGCCAACATGCCTGTAACCCTTCCCTAGGATCATCGGGGATCCCCAGTGGACCTCTGACATATGCCACCAAACTACCCTCGAAAAGCGGGGTGAACTAGGAAAGTAGCTCTGATACCAGGTGTTATGAGTTGTAAAAGAGAGTGCGCAGGTAAACGAATAACGAGACTGTGACTGAATGAATCTGAGAATACAATGAATGCGAGAACTGATGTAGGTTAGCCTAGCTAGGAGGAAACCTCGGGCGAGCGAGGTTGGGTGCAGGTTTGGCGATGGAAATGCCGAAGGCGACGCGAGGAGCTTCGGCAGCGTGGAAATCGCCCGAACGTGCGAACTCCGAAAATCGGGTTGTACGCGCAGCAGTCAACCCCGATAAGGAATTCGAGAAAATTCCTTACATGATCGAAGCTGATGTTTGATACCCCTGTTGGCCCTATACAGGTAGTCTACCTGTTCCAATTACTAGAGCTTCCATCAGTAGTGCCCACCAAGGACAGCTGCTCTCATATGAAGGTGCCTGTAAATGCTTTTTGGCGCGGGGGACCGTCCAAATGATGTGCACTTACCGTACAAGGGCTGCGAAGTCTAGATGAGTACATAGATAGGCAATGTTAGTGTGGGCTTTGTATTTAAATGTAGAACGCGAGTATTAATCGATTATATGGTTTACAGTAAAAATTGCAAGAACCTATCAGAAATTAACTTTGTTTGAATACGATACTTCGTGTTCTCTATGTAAAAAGATTGATTATGACTGGTGGAGCTCAAGGATGTATCATGTGTATAAAGCTTATATTTTTCCTTGAGAACATCCATTTGTTACAGTCCTGAAACTGGTACGTAGCGCCTGCCACACTGCCACCCTCATAAACCAGGGCAGTCAGGCGCCTCCACACATACAGCGGCACAGAGCAGGCAGTGAATGTAGCAGCGACACGGTATGATTCTGATCCCTCTTGGTTTGAATCCACCGATCCTCTACATTGCCTCCCCTGCCCGCTTACTGCTCATTGTGAAACACAACTTCACCTGCGCCAAAGTACATTGAGGATTCTTCAAATCTGTTTCTTCGAACGAGTTGCGATGGCTACGATTAGTCTTTTGAAGTTCATGGTCGCGCTCGCCCTTGCGAGTTCAAGCACGCCGGTCGTCGGAGTCCCCATGAAAAAGCGGGACCCTTGCCTGCTGGACGGCGAAAGCGCTGCGGCGGGTGTGGCACCCAGTGCGATGCCGAGCGCTCGAGCATACGCGTCGACGGCTACAAGCTCGCTCGACGTGCCGAGCAGCAACATTACCACAGGAAAAACGAGCTTCGTGGCTGGCGTAGACAGCAGTTCTGCCGTGACATCGAGCACGAGCAGCAAGAGCAAAAACAGTACAAGCATCGACAGTACTATCGACGGAAGCACGGGTGGCAGTGTTACGAGCAGCAATGGCAGCAAGTCGAGCAATGAATCAGACACAGAGCGCGACGACGAGAGCAGGGCGCCAGGCAACACTCGTGGTCGCACGGTCACTGCTGCGGGTAGGGCCAGCAGCAGTATGGCTAGCAGTACGGGCAACGGAAATGACATTAGCCGTACTAGCAGTGGTACGAGCAAGCCTAGTAACAGTACGAGTAGCGGTACGGTGAAGGCGGGTAACACTACGAACGGCGGTACGGTGAAGGCGGGTAACAGTATGAGCGGCGGTACGGTGAAAGAGGGTAACACTACGAGCAGCGGTACGGAGGCGGGTAACAGTACGAGCAGCGATACGGTGAAGACGGGTAGCAGTACGAGCAGCGGAACGGTGAAGGCGGGTAGCAGTACGAGCAGCGGTACGGGGGCGGGTAACACTACAAGCAACGGCACGGTGAAGGCGGGTAAGAGCACGAGCACCGGTACGGTGAAGGCGGGTAGCAGTACGAGCAGCGATATGGTGGCGGGTAACACTCCGAGCAGCGGTACGGTGAAGGCGGGTAACAGTACGAGCAGCGATACGGTGAAGACGGGTAGCAGTACGAGCAGCGGAACAGTGAAGGCGGGTAGCAGTACGATCAGCGGTACGGGGGCGGGTAACACTACAAGCAACGGCACGGTGAAGGCGGGTAACAGCACGAGCAGCGGTACGGTGAAGGCGGGTAGCAGTACGAGCAGCGGCACAGTAAACGCGGGTAACAGCACGAGCAGCGGTAGTAAGGTGAAGGCGGGTAGCAGTACGAGCAGCGATACGGTGAAGACGGGTAGCAGTACGATCAGCGGTACGGTGGCGGGTAACAATACGACCAGCGGTACGAGCAAGGCCAGTAACAGCACAAGCAGCGGTACGGTACAAACCGGTAACAGTACTAGCAGCGACACGGTAAAAGCGGATAACAGAACGAGCAAGCCTGGTAACGGTACGAGCAGCAGCACGGTAAAAACCAGTGACAGTACTATTAGCGGTACGGTTAAGGCGGGTAACAATTCCGGCAGCGGTACGAGCAAACCCAGAAACAGTTCGAGCAGCGATACGATACAAACGAGCAGCGGTACGGTCAAGGCGGGTAACAGTACTAGCAGTGGTACGAGCAGGGCCAGTAACAGTACGAGCAGTGGTACAGGGAAGGCCAGTAGCAACACAACCAGCGGTAACGAAAAGGCCATCAACAGCGGTATGGTCAATGCGAGTAATAGTACAAATCCCAGTAACAGTACGAGCAACGGTACGGTAAAGACCAACGGCAGTACGAGCAATAGTACGGCAACAACTATTAACGGTGGGAGCAGTGTTACAAGTAAGACCAGTAACGATACAAGCAGCGGTACGAATAAAGCTGGTAACACACCCAGCAACGGTACCGTTAAGGTCATTAACAGTACGAGCGACAGTACGAACAAGGCCAGTAGCAACAGTACGGTAAGCCGTAACAGTACGAACAGCGATACCCACAAGGCGAGTAACAATACGAGCAGCGGCACGGTGAAAGACAGTAGTAGCTCCGGCAAGAACATGAGCAGCACAAGCAGCAGCGCGGAAAAGGGTGGCGGGACCTCAGGCGGGGCGACCAGCGGGACCAACGGCGGAAAAACCGCAGGTGGAAAAACCGGCGGAGTGACGAGCGGCAGTGGGGGCGGCACGGCTGAAGCGGACTCCGCATCCTTGGGAGGGTGCGATGTGGCCAAAGGAAGGTGTGTGGTTCCTGCACGCTGCCTCATCTTGCATGGGTGGACGAAGCAAGCCATGCGGCGTGTGGCAAGCTGTGTGACGATTGCAGGTAGTTCTGGTTTGGCAGCACGTGGAGGCATGGCAGCCGCACGGCATTCCAGAGGCCCCTCATAACGGACATGTGCGCACCTCATACACGCACCTCGTGCGTGCAAGTCATGCCATGCCACATGCCAGGCCACTTGCCATGCCACAAGGCATGTTTCGTGCCCCATCTCATAACAAATTTCATACACATGTCCTGGGCAGATGGGTGCCGTCACACGAACCACCTCCGTACACCGGCTTCACATGCACAACGCTGCGGGCGTATGAGAACTGCCAGAAGAACAAGCGCCCCGACTCAGCTTACCTCAACTGGCAGTGGCAGCCCGACGACTGCGACTTGAGAAGGTGAGCCGTCCTCCTCTCACTCTGTTCTCTCGCCCTTTCAGCTTGCTGCGTCTACTTTCTCCTTATTGCTCTGCGAAATTCCACAGTGTGTTTCTGAGGCAATGGTGGGTCTGGTCATCTCGCAACAGTGAAATTCGCTCCCCTGTGCAGGTTCGACCCAGCTGCATTTGCAAGCCGCTTCAGGAACAAGGTGCTTGGCATTTCAGGCGACTCCTTCTCCTCCAACTTTGGTAGCTCCATCCGCTGCATCATCGCCTCCTTCACCACCACCAAGGTACCTCGCAATAGCATTATTTTGAGACGTAACCTTACCTTTCTTTCAAATGAAGAAATTCTCTCTCTCTCTCTCTCTCTCTCTCTCTCTCTCTCTCTCTCTCTCTCTCTCTCTCTCTCTCTCTCACACACACACACACACACACACACACACACTCTCTGTCTCCCTCTCTCTCCTTGTCTCACGTTCCGTCTGTTTCTTCCACTCGTCTCATACTCTCATCTCTCTCCCCATCTACCCCTCACACACGCACATGTCCTCACGTCATCTCTTGTTTCCATTGTAATGGCCCCTCGCCTGCCATGTGGGTGCAGGACTTCACGTCCACGTGGTATGGGCAGGATGTGCGTGGGTACAAGGTGCCGGCGTACAACATCACCTTCCTCTCGCTCTCTGCTGTCTTCCTAGTTGACGCCACGCCCATGGTCAGCCCATGCACACGCAACAACCATGCATGCTACTCATGCGTCAATTCACTCCACACGTATCATGCAGCACTCGTCTGACTTGAGTCCCTTGCACGTGGCCCTACCTGTCCGCCCTGCAGGGTGCTGCCAAGAGCAGTGGCACCTGGAAGATTCACCTGGACAAGCCCAAGGAGGTTTGGGCGGCCGTGCTTCGCTTCCTGGACGTCTTCATCTTCACCACTGGCCACTGGTTTGTCAATGTGCGCCCCACATGCTTGTCCTTTCTGCTCGCTTGCACGTTGCCAATCCTTCTGCTATTTGCTGACCCTTGCATGTCTATACCTGCCCCTTAACAGGCCCCCCCTAAGCTGCGGCAGTTTTACATGAAGGGAGTTCTTCAGAATGACATGAGTCCATTTGAGGCCATGAGAGTTGCCCTTTCCACAGTACGGGACTCCATCATCAACTCTGACTACCGTGGTGTGCCTGTCATGCTCTCATACTCGCCATACCATTACGAGGAAGCCTACGGTGGCGACCCAAAGAAGTGCTGCAAAGGAGCACAGAGGCCGTTCACAGATGCAGAGGTGGCAATTGCGGAGAGAGGCACAGAAGCACTGGATGCAGTGGCCACACAGCTTGGCGTGTTTCAACAAGTGACAAAACCACCTGTGAAGGCAGATGAAAGAGCCACCTTTAGGATAATGGACGTGACACGGCTTAGCCTCATGCGGCCAGATGCCCATTTGCAGAATTACACTGGTGCATCTGGTACCGACTGCTCCCACTGGTGCAACCCTGGACTACCAGATACATGGTCAGACATACTCTATAATGTACTGATGCCAGCGTAAGCAAATTTTCATAGACTAGATGGAAACCCTTGATTCTATCAGTGACATGCGATTGTGTTATACGTAGTTCGACGTGTAATTGTATATGCACCGGGTTATTGGAGTTTGTTTAGTTGATGATTTGAATCGTATGTGCTCAGTGCTCACGGCTGTTCCCGTATTGATTCATCAGGTGTGCGGTCATTTGGCGAGGGTGAAAGAAGGATTGCCTTCCTTACATGGCATTGCACATGCAAAACAAACAAGGCACTTGGCAGGGGAATGTAACACAATGCCATGCACGACAGCTTTCCTGGTAGCAAATGAGTGATGTGGGCCTGTACGTGGGGTGGGGGAGCTCGAAACGTGGAGGCTCGGGGAGTATTGCATGGGGAGAATCGTTGAGCGAAAGCTATGGGCTGGTAACTAGTGGGGTCTCGAAAACCAGCGTGTCTAGCGCACACTGTTGGGGACGTGCAGCCTGTGAGATAACACTGTACACCAACTCATGGATGCAACCTGCTACTGTACTGTGTTGACATTTTCGAACCAGGGCTCTCCTTCCGGCCACCCTTCAATATCTGGGCTTCGGGGTGAGCGCCCAGATCGTAAAGTCACACGGGATCCGCCCGTAGAAATTACTGTACAAGTAGCAAACCTTTAGTACGTAACGACGTGGTGCACATCAGGGCAATCTCAGGCAGTCACCGTGAAGCACCGTGGACAAAGCAGTTACGGAACAACGGGGTGAGCAAGGGACAGTTTCTAGCAACTACCATCTCAATACCCATATTAGCAGAGTACTATCGTAAGAACCCTAAATGTGTGTGACTTTCGCAAGAAAAGTCAACTACCTGTGGGACACGGGTCGATGGGTGGGTCGCCCAGGCCTCAGGATTTCAGGGCATTTTTTCCTGATTAGCCTGTTTTTCAGGGTCTTTTTTCGAACCCACACTGTAAATACAGGATTCAAAGGTTCTCCCACCCTGTCGCGATCAGGCCTCGTGCAAATTCGACCCTTGTTTTGCAGTTGTTTGTTCTTGTAGCACACTGCCTCGGCCGAGTTCGGTAGTGGCAGCACGCTGAGTGTTTTTTTCCGTAACCATTCGAAACTGGCGAAGTCCTTGACACGGAGACACTCACACATACACCAGAACAAGCATCGGATGTGCTCGAAAACTGGCCAAGTCCTTTCCACAGGGACACTCACACTATACCAGAACAAGCATCTGATGTTCTCGAAAACTGGCTGAGTCCTTTCCACGGAGACACTCACGCAGATTGGACCGCTGCAGCCTAGTTCATTATTTCACCCTTCCACACCAGTCCTGGAAATTTCTAACACCCTGCCATTTCTAGGGTACGACGCGGCAGCCACACTGCAGTGGCAGTGTGACTTCGACCTGAAACTTCGATCTGACAGGGTGGCCCAAAACGAATCAAGACCCCTGGGGTCGCCGAAGCAACTGTTGCGGCGCAAGTAAACCAATCAACCTCATCGCACGATTCGGCGACCCCTCCCCAACGGTGAGGGTGGGGGAGGTCAGGAAACTATCCATAAGTGACCTCTTTAGCTAATCGACTGCTCAATTCCAAACCACTGCTTACCTAATCAAGTCCGTGTGCCATACCCGCACACTTGCAACCCACGCACTGCTAGCCAATCAGAACACTCGCCAGTCACACGCGCGTCGCCGATCACACAGAACTCGCCGACTACTCACACCACTCGCCTATCTAGACGGGGCCAGTTATCGCGCGAGGCTGGCTTCATCACACGCTCGCCTAACGGTTCGCCTCTCTTAACACACACACGGTGTCGTAAGGGCATGTTTCCGCACGCTGGAGGGGCTTCGATGGACGAGCTTCTAGGCCTCGTCCAATTGCTCTCATCGCAACAGCAACAGCCGCCGCCGCCGCAGCAGCAGCAAGCGCCGCTATCCACGGAAGGCGCGGCTGTTCAGCAGGACCCGGGCACCGCGGCTCTCCTCTCGTCGCACCTCTCTTCCAACTCCGAAAGTGCCGCCGCCGCCGCTGGCGCTGCGTCGTCCAGCTTCGCGGGCGCGGCGGGCTGGGCGCCGCTGTCCCGCGCGGGGGTGTTGCCAGAATCCCTTCCCGCCGCCGACACAGCAGGCCCGCTCCGCACGGCGAGCGGCACATGGCTGGGCGGCAGCAGTCGATTGGCGGACCTGCTCGGGCAGTGGACGGCGGGGCGTGTGTGGAGCCCCGCGCCCGTCGTTGCGCAGAATGGCGGTGTAGCAGGTCCCGCCGGCGCGGAGAGCGTGTTGGGCGGTCAGGCGAGCGACGGATTGCGGAGAGGAGCGGACTTGAATGGGGCGGACGTGCTTGGCGCTTTAGGGAGGGGCGCAGACGAGGGGGGCTTGAATGTGGCGGGTGGCAACTCGAGGGAAGCGGAGCCGGTTGAGCGCGCGATGTGGGGGGAATATGCCTGCAAGGGAATGAGAGGGCGGCTCCGGTCATCCAGCAGTCCCGGCGTTGCGTCTGTCACGGGGTTTGGCCCGGGGGAGGACGGGGTAGGGGGGGGCGAGCGCGGGCTTGAGGGAGGTGCGCAGAGGGGGAAAAGTCCAGCAGCGCCGGGCGTGGTGGGCGCCAGCAGCTGCGTGAACAGCAGTCGTGGCGCAGCGGCCGCGGGGATGGTCGGGTTGGGGGACAGTGCACGCGCGTGGCTGGGGCGCATTGGTGGCGCGAGCTCGGGGGAGGCACGGGGTGTGAGGGGGGGAGAAGCAGGGGCAGAGGGCAGGGCGATGGCAGGCGGCGCATTGGACCCGCGCGCTCAAGCCCTGGCGCCAGAGGCAGGGCAGCGCTTGCAAGGCCAGGCGCAGGGCGGGGGGGAGGCGGAAGGGGAAGAGGGGCTGGAGGCGCTGAGGGCGGCGGCGGCAGCTGCAGTGCAGCTGTCGGAGCGACTGAGGCTGCACGTGGACCTGCTGTGCGTCGAACTCGCGAGCACGCAGCACTGGCGCGCACCGGGTGGCGCAGGCACGGGCGGCAATAGCGGCGACTCGGAGGAGAGCAAAGAGCTGGTGATGTACGTGCTCGCGCTGCCATGGGGTGGGGGGACTGGCTGTCGCGCAGCGACGCGGGAGCGAGTGAACGAGAGAGGCGGGAAGGAGGAAATGGAGAGAGAATGGGAGAGGATGGGGAAGAGTCGCATGTCCTCACGTGTATTTGGCTTTCAGCACCCCACTGTGGCCCTCTCTTTTCCCAATCGGTGCCTCGTCCTCGTTACTGTTCCCTCACTATTCCCGCTCATGGTTATCTTGTCGCACGTGGTATCCATCCCATCCGTTGCCCAGCATTCTGCGCAGGAAGATAGAGCGGTTCTGTGGCCAGGGCATTGATTGCTTCGCCGCCTGCCAGCGACTCGTCGCCTCCACGCCACTCACCCCCCCGTCGGCTCAGCATAAGCAGCAGCCGCAGCAGCCGCAGCAGCAGCAGCAGCAGCAGCAGGCAATTCCACTGCATCATCAACACGAATTACAGCAAGTCATTCAACTGCCACAGCCAGGGCAGAAGCAGCAACAGTCACAACAACAGCAGCTGCTGGAGCAGGAACAGCAACAGCGGCAACAACAGCAGCAACAGCAGCAGCAGCAGCAGCAGCAACAACAACAGCAACAGCAAGCGTTGCTGCATTTGCTTCAACAGCAGAATCAAGGTCAGCTTCCTCCGCAGCTGCAACAACTGCTCTACAGTCACCTGCAGCAGCAGCAACAGCAGCAGCAGCCGCAGCAGCAGCAGCAGAAGGGGGGGTTGGAAGAGCAGCATGGGTTGCAGGGAGTGGGACAGGGGTCTATGGGGGAGGCAAACAAGCCCCGCGCCCATGTACCGGGGTTCCTTGTGCATGGCCAGCTGCAGGGGCAGGGGCAGGGGCAGGGGCAGGGGCAGGGGCAGGGTAAGGGGCAGGTTGAGCGAGGGGCAGCAGGGGGTGCAGCAATGCAGGCGTCAGGGTCTTACGGGGCAGCAGGGCTAATGGCGATGGCAGACAGGCGCGCTTGGGCCAGTGAGCAAGTCAGTGGTGGCGCGCCCATGCCCACACGAGGCACTGACGGCCACGCGGGGTGGAAGGGCGGGCAAGGGGTGCAGAGCGGTGCTGCTACGGCGAGTGCAGAGGCAGGGCGGGAGGCGAGGGCGGCAGCAGGAGGCGGGGGCAGTCAGAGCCAGGGCTCGGGGTTTGCGTTTGCTGTGGGCGGCGTGGGCAGTGACGTGCAGGCCAGCCCCAGCGGACTGCGTGCCCGCACTCCCTGGGGCCAAGGGCTCACTGCCAAGCCTGCACGCGCCTCCCATGGCCCCGCACACAGGGACGCGCAGGGGCACGCACAGGCGGAGGGCGTGGGGGGGCAGCATGTATGGGCCGCCAAGGCAGAAGTGCAGGCGCTGGACGTGGGTGGTGGGGGGGAAGGGCTGGCAGCACTGGTGGGAGGTGGCGTGGCGATGCGCGTGGCGGACGGCACGGCGTCACCCACGCTGAGCACAGCGTCCTCATGGCCCTCCGAGCACGACCTCGCCCTGCCCTCCCATGCTCCCCCCCGCCCCCGTACCCATTGCAACCCCGCCTCCACCCTTGCCGCTGCTGCAGGCGCGGGGGGCATGGGGCAGGAAGGGGACATGCGTGTGCAGTCAGCGATGGGGGCGAGTGGGGGGCGAGGAGAGGAGGGCCATGGTGAGGGTGTGTGTGGGAGGACAGGGGTGCTGTCCGGAGAAGAGGGGCCCGCGGGGCAGCAGCAGGGCGACGGTGTGAGGGGCGGGAGCAGCAGGCAGCAGCAGGGCGTGGCAGAGGATGCAGGCTGCATGGCCGCGCTCCTTCCTTCTCGCCCCGCTGCCTCGTCTGACCTCCATTCACCACATGCGCCACAGCAGCAGCAGCAGCAGCAGCAGCAGAGCCGTTCGTGCAGTCCAGCCCCACAGCCCGACTCCCAGGCAGCAGCACAGCGTGAGGGGCAGGGCAGGCTGGCACGGGCAGGGATGGGGCAACAGTGTGCTGCTGGCAGCGGTAGCGACAGCGACACCAGCGGTGGTGAGGGCAGTGGCAGTGATGGCGGCGCTGCATCCCCTGTGCGCCCACCCACCTCGCCCACTTCCACCCTGCCCGCTCCTTCCCCCCACCCTGCACCCACCGCCCCCACTGCCCCTGCTGTTGTGGGTGGCAGCATGGGCGGCGAGTGGGAGTATGGGGTTGCAGTGCTGGAGCGGCAGGAGAGCACAGCGGGCACAGCGGGCCCCAGCGCTGGAGCGGTGGTGTTGCGTGGTAGTGCCGAGGGCTCCACTCCAAGCCCACTCGCCGCATCTGCCCCGCCTGCTGCCAGCCTGCCACGGACTCGTGGGGGCGATGGGGCAGGGCGCATGAGCAATGGGGATGCTCGGGGAGCAGCGTATGGTGGGGGCAGTGCAGGCGGCGAGGGTGGCAGGGGGGGGGGAGGGGGAGGGGTGGGGGTGCGGCGGCGCGCATCAGAGATGTCGGTGGACACAGGGGGCACCAGGGGCTCCAAGGGCGGCAACGCCAGTGACGGCACCAAACGCATCAAGCGGTGCGCCCTGCCTTGCCTTGCACGCTCCATGCCTTGCTTACGCTGTGCCATGCTTGCACCATGCCATGACAGCTTGAGGTTTCTCAATCTCCTCCCTGTGCTGGCTGTCTTACCACCCATGACCTTGGCTTTCCTCCCTGCCCACCCCCTCCCACGGTACCATGCACGCCCCCAGGCCACGAGCAGCGACGGAGGATGCGGTGATCCTGACATCGCTGGACGACGGGTGGCACTGGCGCAAGTACGGCGAGAAGCCCATCGTCGATAACTACTTCCCACGGTCAGCCATGCCACCATGCATGCACCACCGCTCTGTTGCACCAACTCCGCTCTTTCCTTCCCATGCTATCGTATTCTTACCTGGTCGTTACTCCCCCAATCTCTTCCGCCCCTCACATTCTCGCGTCCCAATCCCCCCACGGTGGCATGTGTGTGGTGCTGGCAGCGAGTACTACAAGTGTTCGCTCAAGCGTGGGCTGCGCTGCCCGGCGCTGAGGCAGGTGGAGCGGTGCAACGACGACCCCAGCAAGTTCCGAGTCTTCTACAACGGCGCACACAACCACGACCGCCCCCTCTCACGCCACCGCCCCGCGCCCTCCTCCTCGGGGCTCATGAGCAGCAGCAGTGGCGGCGCTGCCCCATCCGACCCCTCCGCCCGCCCATGGCACCCCACCCGCGGGGGCAGGGGTGCCCTTCGAACTGCTACTGCTGCTGCTGTTGCTGGCGCTTCTGGGGCCGTGAGTGGCGATGGCAGGAGCGATGGTGCTGGAGTTGCTGGTGCAGGCAGCGTGGCAGCAGTGCGTGCAGGCAAGCAATACCCCGGATTACATGGACAAGGGAGGCACGCGGAACAGGAGAGTGAGAAGCAAGTGGCAGGGGTGGGAGCGGCAGCGGAGGGTGAGGGTGCATTGACAGCAGCAGCAGCAGCACAGCCCAAGCACGCGAATGTGCGAGATGCTTCCCATGGGGGCGGAGACCGTGCCGCCCTGGCGGATACCCGCACCACTGCCAATGGCGATGCCAATGCCGCTTTTGAGGACCTTGAAAGGCAATTCAATGGCAATGGCAATGGCAATGGCGAGGGTGAGGGTGAGGGTGAGGGTGGGGGTGGGGGTGGGGGCGATGAGGATGACGATGGTGGTGAGTTTGGTGGGTTCGGCATCATCATTCCCAGCACCGCAGACGCATCGGAGCATGGCAGCATGGCAGCGTTGGCATGCACGGAGGCGAGTGCACGTGCGCTGGAGCGCAGCTGCTCCATGCAGGGCGAGACCGCCACGCCCCGCCACTCCTCCCTGCCCTCGCCCGTCTCCCCCGCTACCGCCACCAAGCACCCTTTCACGCCAGCGGCCTCCCTCTTCAGCCCTGCTGCATCCGCCGCCGCCCCTCTTACCACGTGGCCTCGCTATGCTGCAACTGCAGCAGCAGCAGCAGTAGCAGCAGCAGGTGGCGGCAGTGGAGAGGAAGGTGCAGAAACTCCCAGCAGCATGCCAGCAGCGGGCAGTCACTTTGGTGCTCTCACCTCGCCCATCTCACCCCTCGCCTCCGTGGCCTCTCGCTCTGCCCCGCGTGCTGCCTGGCCGCCCAGCACCTCCCTGTGGCCGCACACAGCTGCTGCTGCCACTCACACTCGTGCCGCCACCACTGCTCCGCCAGGGGTGGCAGGGGGTGGGGAGAGGGGCTCCGATGGAAGGCGAGGAGGGGAGGAGGGGGGTTGTGCAGGGGAGGTTCGGGATGACGGAGCAGGGGAGGAGGCGCTGGGAGGCGAGAGAGAGATGGGGGAGGGCGATGGAGGTGGGGGCGAGCATGGTGGAGAAGGGGGTGGTAGGGGCGAGGGCGAGCAGCGAGGCAGGGGCGAGCAGAGCATGGGCGGTGTGGGGGAGTCAGCAAATGTGCCTGCCCTGACGCTGCCGGCGCAGGGAGCAGTGGATGCACAGGAATTCAAGTGGCATGAGGAGGGCACCGAGCAGCAGGGGCAGCAGGGCTCGGCCAGGATAATGTGGGGCCCCTTTGCTGCCACACTCGCAGGAGTGCAGTCACCCAAGGGAGCAAGGCGGCAGAATGACTCTCACGAGATGAACCACGCGCCCGCCTGCCCTCCTGCCCCCTCGCCGCCAGCAGCGTCCCAACCCCCCAGTCAGGACCCCGTGCTGCTGCAGCTGCAGGCGCTGCCACCACCCAACAGGGCAGAGGCGCAGCGCGGGGGAGGGGAGCCGCGGTACAAGGCAGTGCACATGGAGATGGACCTCGACCTGCCCCTGCCCCCCCCCGCACCCGCCCTCGCTGCCTCCCCCGCACCTGCACCGCCCGCAGCGCCCCCGTCCCCCCAGCACACAGCCCTGTCGTCCTCAGGCGCCCCTGCTCGTGACACCTGCCAGTCTGGGGCGGGCGCGGGGGCAGCAGAGGGGTCGGGCATGGGCAGTGGCAGCAGGGAGGCGGAGCCCCCAGAGATATTTGTGCCGGTGAGACGGCCGCTGGACATGATGCGGCACACGGACGACGAGGCGCTGTCACCGCCCACCATCTCGCCCACCCTCATGGGCCTGCTGCGCGCCTTCAACTCCCCCCGCGGCGCCTCCTGGTAGTTCCCGCATTTCCCAATCCCGCACCTCACTGCGCACGCGCACACTAAGTTGACTGCCATTTCATCACAGCCCTCCCTCACATTATTCTCACACCATCTCAACATGGCCTACCCACCCCCTACTCTGCTCACACACGCTGCGTGATGCACTGCTTCCTTTTCCCACGTAATCAACCTTAGTTCCACCCTTGGTTCCACTCGCCACCTAATGCCAGAAGGGAGTATCTTATTCTCCCAATTGCGCTGAGGTGTTGTGTGCTCAATGTAGCAGCTAGGAGTAACCTTGCATCTGACACCTGAATTATGTTTCGACTCAGGGTACATTCCTGACGCGCGTCACAAAGGCCTCGCGTCTCAAACGAAGAGATGCAGTGCGGTGGAAATGTTCGACACTCAAGTGTAATGCGGTGCAGACTGGTACAGTGGTTCTATTACGCGATTGAGACATTTGTGTCCAGAGCGGAATGTACCCTCAGCCCAGGCTTGTTCAATGCACCTTGGTGGCATGACGAGATAATTGAATGCATTATTTTACACCGGATCACAAAAGAAACTGCTTACTTCTCAGCATTGATAATATCTCCTAGAACAATATTTCTGTGTCCATCAGCTTGAAACAGAGGTGAGAGGGGTGAGCAGCACGTTAGCAGTGTGGAGCACACCAGCGGCCACCACATGCCACAGCGCGTGCAAGGCCGGGTGGTGTGCCACTGTCTTGTCCGCCAGCATGGCAGCGCCTGCCGTCACCGCCGTGGCAGCGTGCAGTGAATACGCTCGTGCCAGTGAAGGGTCCCCTCTAGACCTCCTCCAGAAATTGGCCTGCAGAAAAGGTTTGGGGAAGTGGGTACCATTATAATGCTGGGAGCCGTGTAAGCAAGAATATGGGCAGATGCGTGCATGGTGATGCGGCGCATACCTCGAGCAGGCTCCAGTGCAGGCCCATGACCAGGGACGGGCGCACCGGCACCATGGCTGTGGACACCGCCAAGAGCGCTGCTGAATGCTCATCCGCAGGCAGGGCTGCTCGCGAAAAGCACTGCAGAAAGAGGAGCGAAAGCAGACGGGTCACACAGGAGCGCCATGGGGAGGTGGGTGGGTGAAGAGAGGAGGAAAACCAATGGTAAGTCATATGTAGCCGTTTCCAGAGCTGCTTGTGGAAGCCAGGCTCGAAGTGCATGGGTGGGACACAAACACACGCATATGACAGCGCAGGGCGTGAAGGGTGCAGCGAGGTGACGTACGAGAGTGGAGACAGCAATCATGGTGCAGTCGAGCCAGTGGAGAATGGGGCGGGATATGGGGCCCGATGACGCGTGGTATGCCATGGCCGCTGCGCCAATGCCCATCACTGACTGGCTGTACAGACGGGCCTTGGGACAATCGTTCGCCCTGCAGACACGCATGATGGGTCAACAGCAAGTGGCGTAACGGAGGGAGAGTGGCTGGATGCGCGGGGGGGACAGCTACACTGCGGGCTGGACAGAGCCAGGCTTACTATGATGCACGAATGGATCAGCACGCAGCGCAAGAAAGAGAGCCTGTGGAAATGAAGGTTGAGGTAGGGGGAGGAGGGGGGATGGGAGGAGGGCGCGGGGCAGGAGGAGAGACCTTGGAGTGTTAAGGCCGACGAGGAAGAAAGGCGCGCAGGAGATGATGTTTAGTGCCTTCTCCACGGGTCGCTGGTCCCCTGTGCTCCATCGTCGCGCGCGGGGTGGCAAGCACGGCATGCGGATAGCAGGAATGACAGGGAGGGAGAGGGAGATTAGGGCTACGTAGCGGAGAATTGCTGCTGCCGCTCCTCTCATGAAGTTCACTCGACGGGGATCACTAGCACGGAAGCAACGAGGAAACAACAGCGCGATCCGTCTCGCTGGCTCGCCTGCCGCGTACACCCTAAGACATGTACCAGTCCCGGTCCACTCTCGTACTCACGTCGTCGCCACTTCTGGCACCCGCCCTTTTTCCACCACTCGGGTTGCGAGCCGCGTGCTCTCAAAGCTGCAACGCCCAGCAGGCCGCCCAGCAGCCCACCGCTCCACAAGCGCCACCTGCTGCGGCCGATGCTGTCAGCGTCACACGGTACGAGCGCGGTCGCTGAGAGGGAAAGACGAAAGAGCGGGTGGAAGAGCGGGTGAGAGCGCCGAACTCCTTTCGCTGGAGCGGATGCGTGAAGACGACCAGCTCGCGCTGGCGCCTGTGCGTACCATTGTACAACAAGGCGTGTGATTAAATGAACAAGCGAGTAAGGGACTTCCTAGGCGCACCAGCAGCAGCGCGATCGAGGTCGTCAATTTGCTGCACGTGCAGGCAATCGGCCGTGGCGGAATACAGCGCGCCCTCGACGTCCTCCGCCAAGCCCAACGACGCCACGGTGTCAACCGGGGCCGCACAATCGCCGAAGAGCAAGGGCTCCGCAATCCACGTTTTCCCGTCGCGCACATCCACGCACTTCAACCCCTCGGCCCATCCTGACGCGGCCACGCTTTGCTGCACGCTGGCGAGATCTAAAGCCTTTCTGTGGTGCACGCCGCTGACTCCCGGACCGCCATCAGTGCTGAGAGTATCATTGCCACGGCTGCATTCGGTGCACCTGCTGGTGCTGCTGATCCTGTCGCGGTGATCACGGTTTATGCTCGTGAACCGGCCGAAATTGCTCCAAAATCCCATACCCGCGAAGAACCTGCTGGTGCTGTTACTGCTGCCGCTGCCAGTGGACTAAAGCACGAGACGTCGAAAGGGCCAGAGACTAAAGCGCGTTGCACGGATAGCTAGACACAATGAATATCGGCGTCGGAGGAGAGATATCAGGTGGGCTGGCTAGATTGTCAACCTTGAAACAGGAATCAGATTAGGCGCACCAGTTTGGGGGATCGGGTTGTCCTGCCTCCAGTGAAGTGGCAGAGTCAGCTGGAAGTCACGGCTAACGAGGAAAAGGCAGGCATGGCGTTGCGGCAGGGATCCGCTCGAGGGAGCGATTGGCCGACCGCACGGGAAAGCAGCTCTCCCCGTCAATACGCTGGGTCTCCCAACGCGCCTCGGGGGACTTCCCAGGATGCAGAGAATATGCCGCTAGCGGGAGGGTTACCAGCTGCAAGTGTGGCCGATGCAGCCAATCAGAAAATCGTGAAACACCCACCAACCAATGACGTTCCGAGACGTCAGGGCGTTCAGAGAATAGACCTCACAAGTCCCCACTTTCGTGGCACAAGCAGTATGGTTGGTTCAAAAATACTAGACGAACTAAAAGATCAAATAAGTTGACACATTTAGATTTATAAGGATCTCAACAATAGCTATTTTGACTTGGATACCACTCCCCCAAGTTTCACCACCACCAGGAACTTTTCACATTCACAATCCAAGCTCACACAACATATATTGCCCTATTTGCCATGGCTTATCTCCGATTTGATTTTCAGGGACTTTTATCCTAGCAATGTTAAAAAAACATTAGCATGGTTTTGCTCAGGGTTGACTACAGGTAATGCGTGGCAGAACTGTGTTGTGGGGGATACGTGTCAGTGTTAATGTGACATGGTGGTTTGAGGTTACACAGTATCGATCACTCACCCCTCAGGGTTCAATGGGAGCAGAGCAGACCCTCTAATCTCAGCAATCCCCAAGCGCTTGTTTGTAGTGGTAAATTCTCATTCTTCTTGCCTCGTATGGCATGGGATGGTATTTCCAGTGTTTGTTCAGCTGGTTTCCACATATTCTGATTATAGATGATACTCAAAAGGGTGTACAAAAATGCCTGCAATCTTGCAGCCGGGAAGCTGGGTCAGACAACTGCCAGCTAGGATACAACTTGCAAAGTTGATGCTGCTTAACCTGCACCAGGCCAAGTCACATGGAGCCATGTGTCAAGAAGTCCATGAAAACCAGAAGAAGGAAAGGCAGAAAGAAGAGGCAGATTGAAGGAGAAAAAGGCAAGGGTAATTGGAGTAAGGAGGGGTGGAGGTTGGGGGATGTTAAGCAAGTGAGGAAGCAATGGTAAGTGGAGAGGGATGAGGGTTGAGCAGGGGGTGAGGTGAGGGGGGGTGAGTTCGGTGGGGGAAGAGGGAGACTTGGGAGGAGGGACAAAAAAAAAAGGAAAGGGAGGGAGAAGGGGGTGAAAGGGGGACGGAACGTGGGGCAGATGATGAATGACTGGAAGAGTGGCGAGAGAGATGATGGGCGAGCGGGGAAGGTAGGTGAGGAGTGAGTGGGTAGGAAGATGAGGTGTGCGTGAGAGAGGAAATGAGGGTGAAAGCAGGAGGATAGGAGGCTGGAGGGGAAGGGGGGAGGCAGGGAGGGGGGATTGGGGAGACAGGGGGGAGTTGAAGGGCGAACAGGAGAGAGTTCACGGGAGTGAGTGGGGGAGGCTAGAAAGGGGGAAAACGGGGGGAAGTCAAGGAGTGAGCGGGGAAACGGTGGGGGAGATGATGGTTGAATCATGAGGAAATGAGGAGTGAGTGACGAGGGGATGTAAGTGAGTAGGGAGAAAGTTGAGAGGAAGGAGGGTGAGAGAGAAGATGAGAGCTGCGTGAGGACATGAGGGGAGAGCGTGGGGAGATGGGGGGAGGGCGTGGGGAGATGGGGGGAGAGCGTGGGGAGATGGGGGGAGAGAGAGGATCTGGCGAGTTCTAAGAAAGATGTGCGAGGGAAGATAAGGGGGATGGGGGAAACGGGGGAAAGGGAGAGGCCGCATGATATGGAGTCTCCGTGCGTCAGCTCGGAAATCCGATGTTCGCGAGAGCTGTAACATGCTCGCCGAAACCCTACGTTCGCGAAACCGTGTAGCATGCTCGACCGCCGCCTCTTGCCAGTCTACTGTCTCCCTATTATCTTGTGTTCCTTTTAGGTGGCACGGAAAACTATTGACGCGATTAAGTCGCCCGCAAGGTATCGTTTTCATTTCTCCCGTGATCCTTAACTAAGATTTCGTCGGTTCTTACAACTACTGGCTACGGTTCAAAGATTTCGAGCGCGCATCGAACGTTGCTTATTTCACTTGGATCTGAAACTAGTACTCGTTCAGCTGGAAACGGCTAACACTGAATCCCGACCGATAGAGGCTATGGCAACAAGATATGGGCAGGCACGCTAATCGGCGGGGAAAACACCAAGAATCGATGAAACCAAGCAATCGAGAGGAAGGGGGATGAGCTGGAAGATGATGGATGAAAGCAAGAAACACCTCCCAATTCTATTGGCTCGCACGATTTTTTCTCGATCACCCCTTGCCATTTTCAGCTGCCCCGATCAAGTTCACACGGAACAACATGAATCGCGCGAGCACCTGAACCTTCCGTTCACACATCTCAACGCATTCCCGCACTACACGCAGAATTCCTCGCAAAAGAATCATAGTCGGTCTATACATATAAAAAACACGTGCCACGTCAACAACCTCCTAAAAAATTCGTTTCCTGCCCCAGCCGTAACCTTTCCTACCCGATATCAGAGTGCCCGTCAAACCACAGCACGGCTATACGCGTCCTCAGCAGATCCGCTTATAGTGCAAACCCAATCACATAACTTTACCACCCGCTGTACTGTACACGTGAAAATGGTTCACGAGTCGCGTTGGGACACCCAACTTTGGGCCGCCTTGAAATTTGAGTCCATTGGAACACCCTCTGACATTCTGTAGGCGGAAAGTTGCCTTGGCGGCGCCAGCCACCTTACCAGTCCCTCCCAACACAAGGCTCCACCACATCTTCACCATCGGTCTGAGACAGCAATCATCTCCGCCATCCGTTCACTATTTTGCAAAGCTACCTTGGTATTGTAACGGCACCAATGCACCATACCAAAGGCCGCGCGCATGATCGCAACGCACCGCACTCATCAAATAACAGCGGCAATTGCTTTGGGGAGTCCACATGCACGCATTCGGGTCGCCTTGAAAGTCCCCATGGTAAACGTTTCCAAGGAGGGGAATCTCTATGGTGACGGCGGCCATCGCACAATGACACATTACCATGATGTCTTCACCATTCGTTGGTGGTGGCGATAGCCATATCAACTATGCACCATCTGTTCATCATGAAATCGCCTCATGTAACCCGCGAACTAGCCGCACCCCCTTCCGCGTTGTATCAGAAGCGAACGTCCGCGCCGCGTTGCGCCACGCCTCACCGCCAACGGCACCTTGAGTTAGAGCGGGAATAATCGATAAACGATATCATACTTTTCGAACCCGCTGGCTGCAACATTTTGAGACGCGCCGCAGCCCGCACCGCACCCAGAAGTTTCCGACCTGGATTATCGTTTCCATCGACACACTCCTCCTTGCTCGATCGTTCCATTCCTTCCACCAGAGGATCTACAAGTTCCTATCCTCAACTTCATTCTCGGCTTTCTACCTTCGCAATCATCTCCTCGGAAGGATTTTTCAGCTCCGTCGAAATCAGCGTCCCAATGAGCTAGTATCTGTGGACTTCATGCGACGAGCTCCACGAGCAGTCTACTAAGCCAAATTATGAAGCCACCTAAGCTAGTGCAAGAGAAAGGCCAAGGCAAGCAGCAGCGCGTCTTAGAGTCCGCGTAGGTTCGTGTAGGCGTTAGAGTTAGCGTAGAGTCTAGAGTCGTGGGTGGGTAGAGAGTCTAGAGAGCTGCTTGCAAGCCTTGGCCGGAACCTTGCACTACGCCCTGTTCTTCGCGGCAAGTACTACATCGTGAGAACTCCCTACGGCGAGAACTCCCTGTCAAGATCTCCACTGCAAGACCGCGAGAACCCTGGGAGATCTTCACGGCAAGTTGACCACCGCGATAACTTCACCGCGATTATCGTCGGGAAGTGTTCGACTCGAGATCTTCTCAAGACGATCTTCAATTGCGCTTTCCCGGTTGCTGTTGGAGCTTACTACGGGATTGTCATCTCTTCCAAGTGGACGTAAGACGATCTTCAATGGCGCTTTCCCGGTTGCTGTTGGAGCTTACTACGGGATTGTCATCTCTTCCAAGTGGACGTAAGCTCTGACGGACTTTCCTTCTTCCTGCAGGAAACCGCCTTGGCGCTTCTCGACCAATCTCTATCGGAAGAATTCAAGCAGAGATCGTCGAATGCCTCGTCAGACGCGGCCTACTGCTTCGCCTCGGCTCAAAGAGGCGCTTCTTCCGTCGCATGGTGGAAATCTCTCCGCTGCAAGGCACTTCGCCAAAGTGGACATCACTTGCAAAGCACTTCGCCAAAGTGGACATCACTTGCAAGGCACTTCGCCAAAGTGGACATCACTGCGACCAAGTAGCCTACTGCTCCGGCAAATCCTTGTCCCTCTCTCGGTAAGTATCGTCAATTTCAGCTACATTTTCTTTTCGTTTTACTAATTCTCTCTATTGTGCTCTCTGTCTTGGTGCAGAAGGAGCGGGATGGGGAGCTGACGGCGAGCAAGGAATTCACACGCGAAAAGCTCTCGCTCTCTCGGTGAGTCTCGTCAATTTCAGCTAGATTTTCTTTTCGTTTTACTGATTGTCTCTTATGTGCTCTCTGTCTTGGTGCAGAAGGAGCGGGATGGGGAGCTGACGGCGCACAAGGAAGTCACACGCGGAAAGCTCTCGCTCTCTCGGTGAGTCTCGTCAATTTCAGCTAGATTTTCTTTTCGTTCTACTAATTCTCTCTTTCGTGCTCTCCGTCTTGGTGCAGAAGGAGCGGGATGGGGAGCTAACGGCGCGCAGAGGAG